ACATATTTTTCTATTTCAAGTATTAGCGTTGTTTATTTATTTATACAGGATTCCATCCCCGGAATCCACAACAACATATTTTACATAGATAAAGCTTGTGGGATGTACTCGAACATTTTTTTTTTGTTTCATGGCTCAAAGTTATAGGATAACACTCCAACCTTAAAATAAATATAAACTGTAGAAGTTTATTAAAAAGAAGTTCAAATAATTACCAACTTTATATATCCTGGCCCGCCCGACATTAGGCATTTGAACAGCATTGCTTTGGAACGATATCTAAGATAATACTTAACTTGAAATGCTTAACAAGGATTCGTTCAAAGGAATTGCTCCTGGAAATTTTTGCAAATGATCCACGATTATATATCCATAGTTTAACGTAAGCCAGATTCCTTTTTACTGTGTGACACTAGTCTGGAGAATGTTTCATCACGCGTAAGGTTCAGGTCAGGTCCTTTCCTCTCAAATTGTCCTTTAGACGGACGATACGGCTGTATCATTTTCGGTCAAATCTCGTTGTTTGTTGAGCATCATCTTCTCATATAAAAGTGAAAGGAAACCTATTTTTTTTTTTATGTGGTGGCTGGTGTTTTTGCCCTTGGTTCCTTATATGCCAGCAAATACATTATTAGATTTTCAGCAACTTCCTGGGAATTATCGGTGATATCTTCCGCTCGAAATTGTGACAATCGAAGGAAAGATCTCCCGTATGTTGGTTTCAGGCTCTTTCGGGACATGTTGACAGGAATCAAACACAGAATGCATATATAGATAGATTTTTTCTATTCTTTCTTATCGTGGTGTATTCGTTTCTTCAAAATGAAGTGCATTTTCTAATTATGCGGCCATTCATGTCTCCTTGGGCAGATTTAATCAAATGAAGGCTCAAAATTCTTTGTCACACCCGCGAGGGCAAAGGATACACACCATACAAAAGAAATGACCAGTTCACGACATAATTAAAGAAAGTTACATATATATATATATATATATATATATATATATATATATATATATATATATATATATATTTTGTGTGTGTGCCTGTAAGAATACATATAAATATGCATATAATAAACAAATTTTACCGTGGAAGACAACGCCATTAAAATGATTACTGACTTTAATCACTCTATCCAGGAATAGTACTTTTCTGAATATCGCGAAATAATATTATAACACACACACACACACACACACACACACACACACACACACACACACACACACACACACACACACATATATATATATATATATGTGTGTGTGTCTGTGTGTGTGTGAGTGTGTATGTGTGTGTGTATATATATGTATATGTGTGTGTGTCTGTAAGAATACATATAAATAGGCATATAATAAACAACGTTTATCGTGGAAGACAACGCTATTAAAATGATTACTGACTTTAATCACTCTATCCAGGAATATTACTTTTCTGAATATCGCGAGATAATATTATAATACACACACACACACACACACACACATATATATATGTGTGTGTGTGTGTGTGTGTGTGTGTGTGTGTGTGTTTGTGTGTGTGTGTGTGTAAGAATACATATAGATATGTATCCATAAACAACTTTTACCAGAGATAGTGAAAGACCTTCTTCTTCTTCAATGCGCTGTGTTCCATTCGGGACGTGGGCGACCGTGGATTTTCACAATTCCCTATACATTTTAACTCTTAGTAATTTGTTTCTTCTTTTAATATCTCTACTAATCCCTGTTCTGTCAACCATTAATGCAGCATCTATAGTTAGGTTATTCACTGAATTCTCCTGTTCTTTATCTGTTCAATCCTTTCCGTGAGTGCCAAATACCACAATGACATCAAATTTCCTAATATGAGACTAGGTTCAGGATATTTATGCTTGGCCTGGGCGTGTACACTTCCGCGCCTCATTTTTTTGTAAATTGATTGTATTTCGCCATCAACCAAAGCAAGTAGATCATTCCGTTTGTGAAAAACGGGATTCCAAATTGTGGCATTAGAGTGATGACAAAAATCAATTACTAAAACTGGTTGAAATGTAAGCCATTGTCCGATTTTATCTTTCTATATACTAAATTCGTTTAAAATATCAAATTGCAAAATGAAAATAAATGATTCCACTCAAATTCATATATATATATATATATATATATATATATATATATATATATATATATATATATATATATATATAGTGTGTAAGCAAATATGTGGATATAGATCCGTCAGTATGAAGAAAAATATGGAAAAACAAAATCCGAATATACAAGTATGCTGTTTTAATGTTGTTTCAATGTCGACGTCAGACGTTTCGGTCTAGTAGACCTTCTTCAGGACATAGATATTAAATTTCAGTTATTCTGTTTTGAGTAGCCTTATGTCTATCGTCTTTTCATATTGACTTGAATATCGTCTAATGTTAATTATGTTTTAATAAAATGTCCTGAAGAAGGTCTGATATTCCCGAGCGAATATCTGTAATAGGGATTGGCTAGACGTTCT